TGCCACCTGGCGACAGGAGGCCAGACTCTGACACTGGATATCATCGCGTCTAGATGGTGCTCATCTAGATGGGAAATTATCTAACATCCTCGTCTTTGTAAACCAACGAGACGCCTCCATAACATCTGTTACCCAATGACACTGCATTTTTTTCATTCAAACTATAGACAAAAATATACAAATTAAATTCCACAAGAAGCCACTGGATTAATATCACCACAGTCCCTGTCCATATTTCAGAGACTAATATACCCACGCAAATGCCGACTACGTCCCGCATAAGGGCGGTGTCCGAAGGAAATTTCAAAGGGCCTTCATTAAAAGCACACACAGCTGCGGCGCCGGGCGCATCGTGGCAGGTTGCGCGGCTTCCTGGGCCCCGCCCGGCGGCCGCGCCAAGAATGTGCCACCGGGCAAGCGGGACGCCGCCCCCTCCCTCCGGCCCTGGCCTGCGCCCTCGGGACCCGCTGCCCAGGCCGTGGCCCGCACCTTCGGGGCCCGTCACCCGTCCCCGCGCCTCCCGGCTGCGCGCCCACCTTGGCGCCGATCTGGTTGCCGCACTGGCCCGCCTGGATGTGCACGATCTCGCGCATGGTGCCGGCTGCGGAGCGGTGGAGGCGCTGGCCCTCGAGCTGTGCGTGCAGCGCGGACCCGCAGACTCAAGAGCACAGAGACCTGAAGTCGCCCCCCAGCTCCGCCTTTTATACGGTGGGACCCGCCCACCCCCCACCCCCGCCGGCCCGCAGTGACGTAATGGCGGGCGGGGCTGCGGGGGGCGGCGCGGCGGGACTGCGGCACCGCGAGGGGGAGCTAGGGCGCGGTGCGAGGTGTCGGGGTGCTGCGGCCCTTCGCCGCGCCGCCTGGGTCCGGGGAGCGCGCCCAGCCCCGCCGTCCACGGGCGGCCAGGGCGGTCTCGGGCTCCGGCTCAGCCAGCGCCGTCTCCCGCGACCCTGGGCACGGCCCCACCCCTGCACTGGGTCAGTCGGTCCACTCTGGATCCCCGAAAGGGGCTGGAGCCCTGGGTGCTGGCACCGGGGCAGGGCGAGAGGCGTCGAATACCCTTTTGGAGTAGGGAGCCCGGAATTTTACGTGGAGTCCACAGCTGCTTGCTAAGGGTTTCTGCATCCTGGGCACAGTCCTGGACTCCGGGCCTCGTTCCCG